AATTGTGAATATTTAATTTATTTGTATTGTATAAATATATTTTTATTTTTTAAAAAAAAAAAACAACAACAAAACAAAACAAAACAAAACAAAACAAAAAAATTTAAAAAAAAATATATTATAAATAAAAAATATTTTATTAAACTAAATATATATATATATTTATATATATAAATATATATATATCATATTCTATAAATTATTTTTTTTATTTTTATTTCATAAATATTAAATTTTATATTTTTATATAAACAAAGAAATTTATTATTTATATATTTATAAATATATTATATTTATAATCCTTTAAATACATTTTTTTTAGCATTTTTATTAAAATTTACTTAAGTTATTTTTCATTTTAGTAATTTCTTTAATTTATGAATTCTATTTTAAATTTTATTTTTTTATTTTTATGTACTTATATAAATCTATTATATCATACACAACAATTAGAAAGTTAATTTTTATTTTTTATATATTTAATTAATTGCTTTAAATAATAAAGATTTATTAAAATAATAAGAATCATTGTATATATTATTTTTTAAATATTTTTAATATAAAGATATATATTATTTTACTATCATAAACTATTACATAATATACTTTTTTAGAAAAATTTCATCTATTCTAAATAATTTATGACAAGAATTTGCATTTATCTATAAAACAATTACATGAAAAAATATCACAAAAAACTAAAAAAGAAAACTTTTTTAAACTCTTTACAAGTAACATAAAATCAGTCCTCCACCCCCAGAGTATTTTTTAGAATAAAAATCTATACTCCGAATTTTTAGTAAGAATAAAGTCCCAGATCAGATTCTCACTTATTTATCTACTTTAAGTATTAATATTTAGAAGTTGTTTTATAATTTTTTTTTTTTTTTAATATTCTTGTTTTAATTGTTTCAAATTTCATAAATAATTTTATAGAAATAATTTCATATTTTAAACTACTGTTTCCTTCTTTTTTTAAATTTGTATTATTAGATTTTAGAATATAATTTAATTAATATGTAAGAATTCTATTAAATTATAAAATTTTGTTAGTAGTAATCAATAAAATTTTCACATTAATTTCTTATTTTTTTATAAACATCTTCTAATAATATTTATGGTTTTGGCTTATTAATAAATTATTTTATTAGTATTATTATTTTCACATAATTCTGATAATTAGATTAAAGGAAATCTCAATAGGTTAGTAAAAATTATTAAGACTTTATAAGAACTTCATTAATAAATTAGCTATTAGTGATTTTTGGTGCACACTAATTTAATATTTTTTTTTAAGTAAATTTAAATGCATATGATACTATAAAAAATTTACTCATTCTATAAAAAATTTCTACGATTTTAGGATTATTTTTTTAAACCAAAAGTTAGAAATCCACTTTAAAATTTTAATCAATTAAATGTTTAAATAAGAAATTAAGTTTATATAAATATGAATATTAAAAAATTTTATAAAAAATACTTGGTTATAAAAAACATATTAACTTCAAAATATAAACTAAAATTAAATAAATCATTAAATGCTTAATATTTTAGAAGAAAATTTAAATTTAAACAAATAATAAAATATATATTTTATATTATAAATAAAATATCAATTAAATTATTTTTTAAAATTATCAAAAATAATTATCTATTAATATTATTTAATACTTTTAATTTAAGTATGAATATATATTTTTTTATAATATTTTTAATATATTAATATAAAAAAAAATTAAATTAATATTTATTTTATAATTATAAAAAATTTAATTTAATTATAATTATATAATAATTTATAAAATATATAAGCATTTTATATTATCAATTTTTTATCATATAATTAATTAATAAAATACTAAATAATTAAATATCTAGTTTATTATTTAAAATTTGATTTTTATACAAATAATCAGAAAATTGTAATTTTTTTTAAAAAAATATATATTCTATCAAATAATTATATATGTATGAATTAATCTTAAAATTTAAATTAAGTTTTATTCAAATAAATTCAATTTTTTATTTATTTTTATAAATTTAATATATAATTAAAATAAATTTTACGACTATATATAAAAATAATAAAATATTATAATGTAAAAAAAAAAATTTTATATAATTTATTATTAAAAAAAATAAATAAAATAATATTTTATTAGTATAATTTTTAAAGTTTATTAAATAGCATATCTTTATTAATATATACAATATAAAAAAATTTTCATTTTATTAAAAGTAAAAAATGAAAATTATTATATGTAACTGAATATAACTAAATATTTATATTATTTAATTTAAAATATAAATATTTTTGTATATATTATAATAATTTATGATTTTATTTAATTATAATTTAAAAATTATTTATATTAAAAAATTAAATATATAATATATAAATGTAATTTTTTTTTATTAAAATAGTGAAATTCCATAAAATATAAAAATATATTTTATAATTGATTTGAAATCATTATTTTTAATTTGTATTATTTTAAACTAAAATAAAACAACATTTTTTTATGTATAAATAATTATTTAATATATAAATCATATAACATGTTATTTAAAATAATTTTAAATATTAATGTTATCATAGAGAAAAAAAATTAAAGAATTAAATTATTATAAACATTTAAATATTTTAGTTATCAATAAAATATATAATTTTTTAAATAAAATCTAATTAATTTATAAAATATGAAAATTAAATTAATTTTATTTTGTAAAAAATAAATAAATTATATTTTTTTTATATATGAATGAAAAATAAATATTAATTATTAAATTACTAAATAAAATATATACATAATAATATTAAATATATTCATTAGTATTTTTATAAAGGATATGGTGAACTAAACTCATTTTTTTTTTTATAATTAAATTACTTTAAATATTCCTAAGACTATTATTAATATTATTTTTTTTATTAAATATAAATTTAATCACTATTTTAATTATTAATTGTTCTTAAATTAGTATTTTTTTACTTAAAAATATTTTTATTATTTTATAAAGGCGATTCTTTTAAATTTAGTTTCATAGGTGATTCTAATACTTATCTACTTTATAATATTAAAGTATCAATATTATTCTAAATTTAAAAATTTTCAACACTTTTAACAAATAAATTTATTTTGCAAAATTTTTCAGCAATTTATTTCTCGAAAAACATTTTCAAATCTTTTAAGGCCTCATTACATCCTTCTGAATTAAAAATTTTCTAAGGAGAACAAATTTACCCTAATATCTCTTAAGCCGAGTTTTTTATTTTCTATACATTTATTTATTAAGTTTCATTAATATATTGAAAAAACTTTGACATTTTATTTTTATATTAAAGTTCTTCCAAGTCTTTTATTAGTTAAACGTTTGAAATATTTGTTGAATACTGCATTTAAGGTTCTTTTATTATGGGAATTTACTATTTTATACTCTTATAATCTATAATTTCACTTTTAAAAGTTTAATATTTTTAAATAAAAAACTTGAAGTGTCCGTCTATGTTTTTATTTAATTCCATTTTTGTATTTTAAAGTATGTTTATAATTTATTATTGTGTAAATTCAAAAAAATCGTTTAAAATATTTTTTTCTTTTTCGATTCTTTTTCTATAATTTTATATATTCTTTTTTATTTATTTTTATTAAATAAATAAATTATTTTTTGAAATATTATATTATTTACTAAATCTTCTTCACTTAATAAAAAAATTATATATTAAGGTAACAATTCACTATTTTTTTCTATCAATTAAAAAGGAATTTTACTAGAAGATTTTTTCAAAATCTACTATTCTTATTACTTAAATTTTTATTAAGGATATTTAGGAGGCCTAATTATATTATTCGTTTAACTTTATTCAAAATTATTTTGGTTTAGTTTTATATTTTAAATTTGTTTATTATAACTATAATTCCTTTTATATTAACTTTGGTTGAAATTAATTATATTGTATTTATTTTAATTAGAAAAATATGAATCATTCCCAGAATCTGATCTTGATTTCTAATTATTTGTTTAGGAGATATTTAAATAAATGTTTGTATTTTATTTGATTTAATCTTTTTGATTAAATTTATAAGTATGATCTTAAATGGATATATTAAATATTTTTCGCTTTTCTTTATTTTTATTATAAAATTCATTAAAATCTGAATTTGTTGAAAAATCGGTTAAGTTTTGCTTACTTGTTTAATAATTTTTTATGTTTTCTGATTTAATTTAATTATCTTCTTACATTTTAAAAGAGAGTGTATGCGTATTTTTTATATATAAAATATTTTATTAATAAAAATAAAAATTAATAAAAATATGTATTTATTGCATTATTTATTTTAAATAATAAATAAAAAAAATAAATTATAATATTTTAAATAATAAATATAATAAATTTTATAATTTATTTTTTTATATTTTAAAGTTTATAATTATTAGTTTAATTATAATAAGAAAAGATTATAAAAATTTTATAATATTAATTATTAATATTTGTATATATTAAAATTATGATTTTATAGATATTTAAATATTATAATAATATATAAAAATAATTATATTAAATATATATATATACTATTAATTAATTTTTTTTTTTTTTTTTTAATTATTATATGCTAAATTAACGATTTATTTATGTATTATTTAATTTAAAATTGTAGAAAGCTAAAATTATATTTTTTATATTAAATTTTTTTAATTTATATAAAAAATATATGTCTATCTAAAAAATATATATATATAATAAATAGTAATTTTATTATAAAATAAATAATATTATATTTTATTTTTTTAAATCTTTTTATAATATAAAACCTTTATTTTTTTATTTAACTTCTTTTATATTTTTTTAAAAAAAACAATAAAATAATATAACTATTAAAAATTAAATAAAAAAATACATACACAATATAAAATAATACAAATAAAAATAATAACATATATATATTAAATCTATATATTGTGATAAGCCTTTCCAAAAAAAATAATCACAAAACTCAGTTATTTTTAGCCTTTTTATTTTGTGCTGATTACCCGTTGTTTTCTTCATCTTCTTGAACTTCTTCATCTTCATCATCATCTTCATCATCATCATCTCCTTAATCATCCTCTTCATCCTCATCATCATCATCATCTTCATCGTCATCATCGTCATCATCATCATCATCTTCATCTTGATTTAATTAGTTTAATCCTTAATTAACATCACTATCATCTTCATCCTCATCTTCATAATCATCTTCCTAAAAACATATTATTTTTAATAAAAGAATTAATAAATATATATATTTATTTACATCATCATTTAAAATTTCATTTCCGTCTTTATCTTAATTATCAAGAATTTCTAAATTTGGTAATAAGGAGAAAACTGTTTCTCGATATTTGGCGTCTTAACATACAGGATTTTCGATCAAATCTAGTTAATTAAGATTAGGAAATGTCTTAAGTGCATCTAACTCGCTTAAATTATTAATTTAGACATTTCCAAGTAAAAGAGCTTATAGATTTTATGCATTTTGTAAATACTTTAAGTGAGAAAGTTATAAATTGTTGTTTATTAATTCTAAAGTCATTAGTTTAGGTAGATTAGGGAAATTTTCTAAGGTTTGTAAATCACATTCATTTAATGATAATATTGATAAATTCTTGAATTATTCGAGTTTTTGTTTCAATTAGTCAGGTATTTTTGTTATTTTTTAGCCGTCTAAATTTAATTCGACTACTTCTTGGGTTTTTAAACCTTTTACTTGTTGTTCAATTGTTTAAAATAATGCTTTTGACATTTTTTAGTTTACTTTTTTTTTTTTTAACTCTTTAAATATTTTTTTTTTTTAATATTTATTATTATTTATTTTTTTAATTTTTATATTTAAACTCTTTAATTATATTTTTTTTTTTTAATTTAGCTTTATATTTTAATAATTACATATTATTTTTATTTATATTTCCTTTTTTTTTAATTTTGCTTATATTAATTTAGAAATAATATAAATTTCGTCAAACAAAAATTTTCTTTAATTTTTTTTATTTTAATTTATTTGCTATAAAAAATGCACTTATATTTCATATAAAGATACTTAAATGCATTTATTTTACTTATAAAATTTTTTATTATATATAATATTATATTTCTTATATATTATTTTATATTTAATTTATGTGATTTTATTTTTCTTACATATAATAAAAAATATTATTAAATCAATATATAAATTTAATTCAATATATTCATAAAACATAAAATTAATTAAATATATATAATTATTTAATTTTAAATAAAAAATTTTAATTAAAAACATATATGTTTATATAACAAAAAAATTATAAATTTTTTTATAATTTTTAGAATAAAAAAATAGTCTATATTTTTCAAATAAATAAAAAAATTACTTATTTAAAAGAATAAAATATGAAAAATTAATTATTTATTTAATATTGAAATTTGATGTATTAAAGTATTTATTAATATAGATTTGTTATTTTAATTTAAAATATTTATTGAAATAATTTAGTTAAATAAATATTATAATATAAGTATTTAAATAAAATATATTTATAAATTTATTGAGAAATTGAAAATATTTTTGAAACATAAAAAAAAATTCGTTTAATATATATAAAACTTTATATTTTTTTATCAATAAATATCGTTTAATTAATAAAATAATGTATAAAACATTATATTTTTTTATAAACAAATTGTTTTTATATTGATATAAAAATTACTTTTTTGAATTAAAAAATATTGACTATGAAATATTTCTAATATATAATTAATTATAGCAAAGTATAAATATTTATTATTTTAATCCTTATAAATATTTCTATTTTTTTAAAATAATTTATTAAATAAAAAAAAATATTAAATTTTTTTAAATTGTAAATATATATATATATACTATATTGAAAAAAATTAAATAAAACAAAATAATAATAATTACATTAATGGAAAAAGTTGAATATTAAGGAACAGCTCCTTAAGCTCGTTTCGGGCATACAATAACTTATATATCAAAAGGCAAAGCTATCCTATTTGGAGGCGCAACCGGCGATACTGGCCGTTTCCAAATAACGGGCGACACATATTCATTTGACGTATAAACTCGTATATGGAAGAAAATAGAAAGTATTAAAAAAATAAAAAACCTAATAAATTTTTTTTTTTAAATTTTTAAAAAAAAGCAAACGGAAATCAACCATCTCCCAGAGCTGCACATGCAGCAGTTGGTTTAGAAATAAATTAAATGGTAGTATATGGAGGAGCTACAGGCGGTAAAAAAAATTTATATATTTTTTATTTTAAAATACATATAAATTTAAAAAGGTGGAAGTTTAGCCTCAGATGATCTTTATTTATTAGATTTACGAGGAATAGATGATATAGGAATGTGGAAAGTAGTTCCTGTAGTTGGCTAAACACCAGGTCGTCGATATGGTCATACAATAACATACACAAAGCCATTTTTGGTAGTGTTTGGAGGAAATACTGGATAAGAAGCAGTAAGTGATTGCTGGTATTTGAATGTAGAAAAAAGTCCATTTACATGGCAAAAGATAGAACCTAAAAATGAAATACCAAGGGTAAGGGTATATCACAGTGCTTCTTTATGCAATTAAGGATCAGCGAACGGAATGGTGGTAATGTTTGGTGGAAGATCGAATGACTAATCAGCTTTAAATGATGCTTGGGGCTTAAGAAGACATAGAGATGGAAGATGGGATTGGGTAAAGGCCCCTTATAAGTCCGAAAAGGAACTACCGGTGGGAAGATATTAACATTCAAGTCTTTTTTTGGGGAAATTATTGTTTATTATAGGTGGAAGAACTAATAATGTTGGGGAATATTTAGGTTTGGAAGTTTATGATACTGAAACTTCGGAATGGAGTAGGTTTAGTTCACTTTAAAGGTTTAGACATGGTTCTTGGATTGTCGATAATTTTATTTATATATATGGAGGTTTTGAGTTGGAGAGTCCGAATATTCCAACCGATGTTATTGTAAAAATTAATCTTTTGAAAAGTATTTCCACAAACGGAGATTTATTAATGAAAATTATTAATACTTTGAAATAATCTTCCCCAAATAATAGTTCTTTAATGGAAATTTAATAAATTTCGTAAAATTTATTATATAAATATATATATATTTATTTACGCTAATTTAAAACAAAGACCTACAACGGGTGGAAATACAGGAGATTTAAATTCAACTGCAAATTCAAATATAAGTAGTTAATTTGGGAAAATAAGTCCTAATTCAATAAATAGTTCTTTTAATAATAATAATTAATTTTAGCAATAATAAATATAAAGTTTACCAACCTAATAATAATAACATTAATCATACTAATAATAATAAGGTTAATAAAAATATTCTCCTACTTAAAATATGAATTAATATGTAGGAGGAGTGGTTAATAATATATCTAATGCTAATAAATATATGCCAAATTAAATAAATAGCAAAATCCAAAAACCTTAATCTATTGGAAAAACATTCGAGTTTATGGAAAGTATAGTCGCAGAGGAAACTAAAACTAATGATAATCGCAAAGTAAGCAATAAAGGTCAAAAAATAAGTAATATATACAATTAAGTAGACTTCAATAGTAATAAAGGAGTCGCCTATGATCCGAACTCAATCCATAATATTATGATTTAGCATTTATTATAGCCTAAAAGTTATATTAATTTTCCCGAAAATGTACCTTTTAAATTTTCCTCTGAGCATATAATATAACTATGTAATTTAGCTGAAGAAATTATAAAAAATTAACCAATAGTACTTAGAGGTATTCTTATATATAAAAATATTTATATATATATAAAAAGTAAGAGCTCCTATGAAAATATTCGGAGATATACATGGATAATATAGTGATTTAATGCGTTTTTTCGATTTATGGGGTTCTCCTTGTGAAAATGGGAAAGACTCAGATATAGAAAGTTTCGATTATTTATTTTTAGGAGATTATGTTGATCGAGGAAATCATTCATTAGAAACAATATGTTTACTTTTAGCTTTAAAAGTACGATATCCTAATTAAATACATCTTTTAAGAGGAAATCATGAAGATAAATGGATAAATACAGGGTAAATTTTATATATATAAGAAATAGTATATTATTTATTTATGTAATATACAAAGATTTGGATTTAGTGATGAATGTAATTAAAGATTAGGAGAAGATCCTAGTGATGAAGACTCAGTTTTTAATAGGGTAAATAGGCTTTTTGAATGGTTACCTTTAGCAACAATAATAGAAGATAAAATAATTTGTTTACATGGAGGAATAGGTGGGTCTTTACATTATATTTAGGAAATAGAAAATTTATAGAGACCTCTAGAAGTTATACATGAAGTAAATACACCCGAACATTAATTGATTGTTGATATTTTATGGTCAGATCCTACAGATTCAGATCAAGAATTAGGAATTCAGGCTAATGTAATAAGAGATCCAGCCGGAACAGGAAATATAGTCAAGTTCGGACCAGATAGAGTGAATTAATTTTTATAAAATAACGGTTTGTCAATGATTTTGAGGGCTCATGAATGCGTTATGGATGGATTCGAAAGATTTGCGGGAGGAAAGCTTATTACTGTGTTTAGTGCGACTGATTATTGTGGAAGACATAAAAATGCGGGAGCAGTACTTATTTTGAAAAATAATTTCGAAATTATTCCGAAATTGATTTATCCTAATAGCGAAATTTAACACAATTGGATTGAAGATGAGGAGGCTTTGAAAAAAAGACCGCCAACACCGCCTAGATGGAAAAATAATAATAATATAAGAAAGTCTTTTGATTGATTTTTTTATAATACTTTTTAGTTTTAAGTTGAATATATATATATATATTATTTGTTATTATATTATTATTTTTTAATTTTGTTTTTTTTGTTTTTTTTTTTTAATTTTTTTTATATTATATTTTAAATAATAAATTTTTTTTTTAATATAAAATTCATAAAAAATAAGAATTCTATTTTTATTTATATCTAAAAATAAGATATATTTTTTTTAAGTGAAATAACTTTTTTTTTTAGAAAATTTAATTTATTTTATTTCTAAAGTCAAAATTGGAGCAAAAACACATAATTTCAAAAATGTTAATAATTTAATTTTTTTGATAATTATAAAAAACAAAAGAATATACTGTTATAATAATTAATTATAAATAAATAACTAAAAAAAAAAATTAATTAAAAAAAAAGCAAACAAACACAGAAAAAATCATACAAAAAAATAAAATAATTTCTTCTTCAAAATAATAAAAATCATTAACTTCATTTTTCTTTTCTTTCAGTTTTCTTAATAACACCGACAGCGACTGTTTATTTCATATCTCTAACTGCATATCTACCAAGAGGGGGATATTCTTAGAAGACTTCACAACATAAAGGTTTAGTGGGTGTTAATGTGATTAAAGCAGCATCTCCGTTTTTTACGGATTTAGGGTTTTCTTCAAGAACTTTACCTGTTCTTCTATCGATCTTTTAGTGGATTTCTTCGAATTTACAAGCAATATGAGCAGTGTGGCAATCTAAGACGGGGGTATATCCGTTTTAGATTTAACCAGGGTGGTTCATGATGATGACTTAACTGTAGAAACTAGTGACTTCTTTAGCGGGGTCATTCTTAGCATCAGAAGCAACATTTCCTCTCTTAATATCTTTAACAGAGACACCTTTAATGTTGAAACCGACGTTGTCACCAGGAATAGCTTCAGGTAATTATTCGTGATGCATTTCAACAGATTTACATTCAGCTTCGATTTTACCAGGGGCAAATCTAATCAACATACCAGGTTTAATGATACCAGTTTCTACTCTTCCGACTGGGACAGTTCCGATACCACCAATTTTGTATACGTCCTATAAGGGTAATCTTAAGGGTTTATCAAGAGGTCTCTTGGGGGCTTCAAGAGCATCTAAAGCTTCAACCATAATAGGTCCTTTATACCAGGGCATATTGGAAGATCTTTCTAACATATTATCTCCATTGAAACCAGAAATAGGAATGAAGGGAATAGTATCGGGTTTATAACCTACTTTCTTTAAGTAATCAGATAATTCTTTCTTGATTTCCTAATATCTTTCTTCAGAATAGTTGACGGTCTTTTCGTCCATCTTGTTCATACATACGACCATCTATTTAACTCCCAAAGTGAAAGCTAATAAAGCATGTTCTCTGGTTTAACCGTCTTTTGAAATACCAGCTTCGAATTCACCTTAGGGTGAAGCAATCATAAGAATAGCAACATCAGCTTAAGAGGTACCAGTAATCATATTTTTAATGAAATCTCTGTGACCAGGAGCATCAATAATGGTGAAGTGATATTTAGCGGTTTCGAATTTCCAGAGGGAAATATCGATGGTAATACCTCTTTCTCTTTCGGCTTTAAGCTTATCAAGTACCCAAGCGTATTTGAATGAACCTTTTCCGGCTTCAGATGATTCTTTCTCGAATTTTTCGATGGTTCTTTTGTCAATACCACCACATTTGTAAATTAAATGACCAGTTGTGGTTGATTTACCAGAATCGACGTGACCAATAACAACTAAGTTAATATGAATTTTATCTCCTTTTGCCATTTTTAATATTTTTTTTTATTTTAAGATTTGTTATTTTTATTTTTATTTTTTAGTTTTTTAATTTTATTTTTTACCTTTAAAGATATTTATATTTAATTAAATTTGGACTTAGTAGAAAATTTTTAATATATTAGAAATAAATTAAGAATTTCTTAAATTTATTCATATAGTAAAATATATAAAAAAAAATACTTAATATATAAAAAATATAGATATAAAATTAACATCTAATTAACTTTTAAACAGAAATAAAATAATAAGCAACATATGTATTTTAAATTATAAATAAAATATATTTTTTGTAATTATTAATATTTACAAAAAAAATATTCACTCATTTAAAGAATACAAAAATATAATTTAAATTATGAATTATAAATATATATGTATATATATATATTTAAAATAAAATTAAAATGCGTTTTTATAAATTATAGAGAAAATAAAAATAAAAAATATTTATATTTTAGCAATTATATATTTATAATTTTAAAAAATAATATTATATATAATTTATATAAATAATATATATATAATTTTAAAAATAATATATATACATTTAATATTTAAAAAAAAAATGTAAATAAAAATATTTATTAAAAAATATTCAAATATATATATATATATATTTTATATTATATAATTCATGAATATAATATTAAATATTTTTATCTTTAATATTGAATTTCTAATAGATAAAATATTTTGTATTCTTTATAAAAAATATTATATATAATAAAGAGAATTTTATTAAATATTAATATAAAACATTGAATATAAAATTATTATATTATATCAAATTAAAATACATTTTTATTTAGATATGATATATTTTTTTTTTATTTACTAAAATAAATAAAAATATATATATCTAACTTTAATTTTAAAAATAATATAAAAAAAGTAAAAAAATAAAAAATAAAAATATATATGTATATATATAAAAATAAAATATGTATATATATGTATATATATATATACATATATATTTTTTTTTTTTATTAGAGAATTTTTTTTAATTATAAGTATTTTAATATTAATGTATTTTATTCAATATAATCATTTTTATTTTTCCTTTTTATATAAATTTAATTTAATTTAATTTATTTATGATAATCATTTTTGAATCTATTTAAATTTAGTTTTTTATTAAATAAAATTATATATTACCCTTGAACGCTAATTTAAAATCTATGTTGGAATAATTTAAGTTTATTATTTTTTTTTAATAATTTTTTTTATATTTTTTATTTATATATGAAAATTAATATTAATTAGATTTATTATTTAATATTTTTATTTTTATTTCTTAATTTGTCTTTTATTTTTATATTTTATTAATTAAATAGAAATTTTATAACGAAAATATTTGAATACATTAAATTCAATTTAATTATCAATTCCTTAAATATTTCAAAAAATATTTTATAAAATAAAAATGAATTATACAAATAACTAAATATTTTAAAACATTTTATATCTTTATATATTATCAAAAATTAAGTATTATAAGAATAATAAAATTAATTAAAATAAAATAAAATATTTTATTTAACAAAAATATTTTAATATTTTAAAACAAAAAAATGTTAATATAATAATATATATCAAAAAATAAACAAAAAATATAATTATGTTTAAATAGAGTAAAAAATAATGTATAAATACTCATAAAAAAAATTATAAATAATATAAATTAATTTATTAAAAAACGAACGCATTAAATTCATAAATTAATATTTTTACCATTTTTAGCAATCCCTAAAACTACCATATTACTCTTATACCTAAAATATAATTCTTCCAAACTAGAGATTTAATAAAAATTTAACAAAAAATAGTTTTTTAATTTAAAAAACAACCTGGTATATTTAAATTTGTTTAAATATTTTAAAAAATTTTCAATAAACTTTCATAATCTTCAATTTATTTTTTAATATATTTATAAAAATTTATAAAATTCACTAAAAAAAATATGCGATAAATGATAATTTAAAATAAAACTATATATATACCTTATCAATCCAAAATGTTTAAAAATAATAAAATAAGCTAAAAAGCTATATTTTATTATTAGATTATTAAAAGAAAACATATTTAATGCTTTTATAAAATAAAATAAAATAGAATTAAAATATTTAACTTATTCTATTTATTTAAAATATCATTAAAAATTATTAAAATATTTAATTGACTTTAATTTAAATATTTAATAAATTTTTAAATAAATTATTTAATGAAATCTAGTAATATATAATATACAATATTATAAATTAAAAAAAAAAAATTAAATTTTTATTAGCATATGTAAATTTTAAAGATAATTAAATTATTTGTAAAATAACAAATATATAAAAAAATGTTTAAATATTCAATTTTAATGTAATAAAAATATAGATATTTAAAAATATTAATAATTTGTAGTTCATCTATATAAAAATTATTTTTATTAATAATAATAAAAAAGATACATTAAGAAATATTTAATTCGTAAAATAAATTGTATTTAAATATAAAAACAATAAAAAAACTTGTTATTAAACAAAATATTTTCATTAATTTTTTAAATATACATTTAGTAAAAAAGATTAAAAAAAATATTAAAAGTAGATTTATATTTGATTTTATTTTTCAAAAAATCAAATTTAATATATAAAAACAAAATTTAAATCAATAAATGATTAAATTAAAATATAATTTATTATTTTCTTTATCTATTATATTAAAATATAACAATTATTAACTTTTTTTTTTATTTATTTACAAAAATATGTATATTTTTAAAAATTAATTCTGACTATTAATCTATATTAATCATTCAAATTTCTAGCAATATAAAAAAAATTAATAATTAATAAAATTGATAAAAAAAATTAAAAATTTAAGCAAAAAAATATTTTATATTATATTTGTGTATCTATTTTAAATAAAAAATAATATTTATATATTAAAATACAAATTAAATAAATAAAATTAAAACAAAATATATTATAAAAAATGAAAATATCAACTGATACAGAAAGCTAATCTAAATAAATATTTCAATAAAAAATGCAAAAAAAGAAACATAAATATGCTAAAATAACAGATGAACTTCGTATAAAATTTCTCAATAATATGTTCTTTAACAATAAATCTATAAAAAAATCAGCCTAAGAGCTTAATATTAATTACTCATCAGCCAAAATAATTCTAAATTAACATAGAAAGAGCTAAAGATTAGCCTAAACCTTATAAACTTAAAATATTCCAAAAATTTAACTTTAATAAATCAATGTAATTATCGTTATCTAATAAAAGATTAAGAAAGTAATATGGAAATAGAATGTACGATAGGAGGATTCAAATAAATAAAAGAAAGGAAAGAAACATAAACTACAAATAATAATCTATAATAACTTAATTTTCTATAAATGTTTATGTTAATAAATTAATATTAATAATTGTATGCATAAAAATTTAATAATAATTACTGAAAATAATAATAATAAAATAAATATATATATAAATATGTATATTTATTTTTTATAATTAATTTTCTGGATTTTTTTTTAATCTGAAAAGTGTGTGTTTTTTTTTATATGTAATATATAATTATGCAAAATAAATACAGTTTACTAAATTAATTATTTTACAATTGTAAATTAAAAAACAAATAAATTTTGAGTCATAATATTTAATAAACATATATTTTTTTTAAATTTACAAAATCGTGCCTAATCCTTTTTAAAAATAATTGAATTTTTAATTTATAAATTAAGAATGTGTTTTATTTTTATTTATCTTTTCTAATAAATAAATATAATATGTTTATTTAATAAAAATATAATATAAAATAAAAATATATTTAAAATTAATAATTTAAATTTTTATATACTTTTTAATATGTTTTATCTTTTTATTGTATTTGAAAAAAAAAAAAACTAAATCAAAAAAAAAGGAAATAAGATTTTTTTTTTTTTCTTTAATTTCTCTCACTTTTTTATATTTTTTTGATAATTGTGTATTTAAATAAAATTATAAAAAAAATAGTAATAGTTAATAATTAGTTTATTTTTAAGATTATTTAATACAATAAAAACTTTACTTTTTTTCGAATGAAAATAAAAAAATAATAATAATATTGTTTTATTAGGAATTAATAAAAATAATAATTTAAAATTAAACAAATAATTTAAAAAAATGAAATAAAATCAGAATAATTTTATTAAAAACTTACATTTAGTTAGAAACGCCTTAGTTGATATTTCATTATCTATATAAAACAAAACTAATATACAATAATTAAATTCATAATAAAAAAGAAATATAAACGATAGTATGTAATTTGATTAAGAAAACAATTCAATGTTATTTAATTTCAAATAATCTAAAAAAAACAATACATTTTAACAGAAAAACAAAAATACATTAAATTAAATTGCAAGTGCATCAGAGTAACTACAAATAAAGTGGATGAAATAATAAATAGATTAATTATGTTAAGATAATTAAATTGTATATAATAATTTTTTAGATAGTTTACAAGTAATAAATTAATTATAAAGTAAATTAAAATAACAAGAAAATGCAATTAATAATTCATATAATTAAATAAAAATATAATTAATAAAACAAACTCACTAATTAAAAATAAGACAAGTATTTATAAATAAATATATATATATATATATATATAAATATATATATATATATATATATATTTATTTATAAACATTTTATAATTATATTTAAATAAAAATATAATATATTCATTTATTCTTTTATTTTAAAACTATTTATTATTAAGGACATAATTAATTTACATGAAAAAAAAAATCATTATTGGAAAGAAAAATTTTTGAAATTAAAAAAGGAAGTTGAAAAATATTTAAATGAATATATACTTTAAGAAAAAGAAGAACCTAAAATAATATATTAATTATAATAAGAAAATTATGTTTTAAAATAAATATTAAATTTAAATATTCCAAATGAAAAAATAGAAAAAATATAAAGTGAAATAGAATAATAAGAAGTTGAATTTTTCAATAAAAACTGCTAAAAACCATCTGAAATAGAAATTAAGTATTTTGCAATGTCATCTATTAATAAAGAGTCTAAAAAATTGCCTTTAAAATAATTAGAAGTAAACACATCAAATAATTTAAATATAAAAAATAATTTAAATACAAATATAATGAAAAATAATGATATTTAAAATACAAATAATAATATCTAAAATTTATTTAATAATACAAACTTAAATAACATTAATTAAAATTCAAATAATAATTATAGTGTAGATAAAGATAAAAATAATGATATATAAAATAATAATATTAAAGAAACATAAGAATAATAAAAATAATAATTTAATTAACTTTAAATAATAAAAAATAGACAAATAACAGAATCTAAAAATTTAAGTAAACAAACTTTATCATTTAAAGAAGTTGAAGTAAATAACAGTGATGACGATTTATAAGAATAAGAAAATAAAGATGAAGTAGAAGAAGAAAACAATTTTTATAATTTTTAAAATGCTATAAGATAAAGTAAAGATAGTATAGACTTTACTGATAGATAAAAAGCTAAATAAATGCTTCTTTAATAAAGTCAAAAACTTTCTTTATAAATGAATAAACCAAAGTTTTTTAAAAAAAAGAAAATGAGGAAGAAATTTAGATTTAAAAAGAAGAAGTTGATAATGATGAATTTCCAATATTAGAAGATGATAATTAATTAAATATGTCAAAATAACAATAAATTAATAAAAATAAAAACTATAGATACGATGAATGATTTTATTTTTTAAACATTAATATATATATATATTATATAGACAAGTGAATATATATATATTTTTTTTTAAAAAAATAAATATATTTATATATATATTAATAAAAATAAATCACTTCTTTTTCTTTTTCCCATTCCCTTTCTTTCCTTTTTTCGGATATTTATCCACCTAATAAGTTTCCCACAACGTTCTAAACTGGGGTTAATTCTAAAACTCCAAATACTAACCACTTTTACTAATATTCCTCGCACTAGTCAACGTTCTATTATGATAAGGTCCCAATTCAGCATTAAAAACAGCCTCAGAGAGTTTAAAATAAGCCAAAGCTTCATGACTCCTTTCCAACATAAACATATTACAGCCCAAATTATTAAATGTAGCAGCTGTATCTGGATGTTCTACTCCAAAAAGGCTCTCTCTAATCTCCCTACACTTTAAATAACACCTAAGTGAGAGTTCATATTCTTCCATATTATACAAAACTGAACCTAAACCGCAATATGCTAGAGCCATATCAGGATTATTATCGGGTAATTTATCACATATTTTCTTACAAGCCATAAAATTAAACATCGCATAATCGTCTCTTCCTGCACTGGAGAAAACTGAGCCTTTTGAATATAAAAAAAATAGATTTATTTAATCTTAAAGTTCACTATTTAATATTTTTGCCATTCTTACTTTGCTTAATCGAAATTTTATATTGCAAATATATAATTTTATTAATTATGTGATTATATTGCACTTTCGATTAAAGTTCGGACCTACATAGGAACTTTTGGAGGGTAAATTATCTCTTCAATAATTACTGGAATTATCGGAATATCGGACATTACTCCTTTTTTTAAATCTCCTAATATTTTTTCGCCATAATCTAGATCATTATTTAATTATTGTAAAAAATCAGCTGTTCTTCCAACAGGAATAGATGGCATTCCAGACCAAATTATTGCTTTTGGTGGTTTTTCCCCTTTTTTAAGTTATTTTTTTTTAGGAGGTTTAGCTTATGGTTTAGGTTTTTCAGGAGGAGGTTTAGGTATTGGGTCACCTTTACATACAAATAAAATTATATTTATGATTAATTAATTTATAATATATACCTATAACTTATCTAAAAGGTTTTTTTTATCCAGTGGATCTATTTTATATGGAGGTGGATTTTCTTTTTAAACCAAAGGTAAAGGCGGCGTAGGTGGTAAATCTCTATTTAAAATATTTAAAATATCATTATAGTCTAATTCTTTAAGATCTGCTTAAAAAATTAATTATTATTGCATTTTTATTACATTTTAGATTGGTTCTTCATTTGTTTATTATTCTTATAATATATTATTGTTGCTATTACCATTACTATTATTGTAATTTCTTTCCTATTTTTAATTTTTTTATTCGTTTTATAAATCTTTGTAGTAATTTTCTAATTTTCTATATAGTTTTTTATTAATATTGGAGAAATTAACTGTATAAATTTCCTAATTTTATCTTATGCTTAAAATATCTCTAAAAAATCTCTCCAAAACAAGACTAATATCCTTCTTATCTTAATCTTTAGGTGAAATCTCAAATCCAATTCTACTTAAAACTAATTAAAATTCATGAAAAAGTAACTAAGGATCATTATCTCTTTTTTTTTCAACCATTTCATGTACTTCCTTTTCATAAATTTACATCAAATGATGTTTATGGTAAAATTCATTTCCTGTTGGTGGTATCATTTTTTACATGCAATCATTTACGCTTTCCACACTAATTACATTTGGTAAAATATGCGCTTCTTTTAAGAATACTAAAAACGCAAAAGAGCTAATTTTTTTATTTTACAGAGCGATTTCATTCCATGTAAGAAGTAATTTTTATTAAACATAATTTTCTGATAAATAACTTACATAACAACTCCTTAATTCATCCTCATATGCACATTAAACTGCTATTGAAGGTTCCGTTAATAATTTTCTGGTAATTTCATCGAATATAGGACATCTTTATATTTCTATTTAGCCTTTATTTACTAATGCTTTTTCAGATAGGACATCTTAGAAAATTTTCTCAAAATGGTTCTTTTGGTTTGGGTACATTATTCGTGATAATTAATATAGGAGAAAGTTAAATTGAGATTTATTTATAGTTTTTTCAATGTTTTTTTAAACGACTTTTTCACAATCGACACAATCAAGGAATAGATTATACATTATTGATAGGCTTATATTTGCATTTATTAATGAACGATCAAGAATGAATTGGAAAAATTCGGAAAAACGTAAAGTTTGTAGGGTTTAGTCTTGTTTTGCAAAACGATTAAAAAGCTCCTCTAAACGCTTTTCTTCGTTTGGTTTTAACATAACAATATTATCTTCCATTTTATGATTTTTTAAAAAATATTAAAAGTATATTAATATATATATATATATATATATATATATATATATATATATATTTAATTTATTTTTTCAAAGTATTTTTTTAAATTTTTTTTTTATTTATTTAATTTTTTTTTTTATTTATTTAATTTTTATTTTTTGAATATTAAAAATAAAAAAATTTATTTATTATTATTTATTTCATTATTTTTATTAAATATATATAATTTTTAATTTGATATATATAA